GTACAAACGATTAACCACTTCATTTTCCTTGCTAGTATTAGGACCAGATAGGCAAACCGGGTCCAGTCCCAGCTGCAGTAGCCAGGGAGACAAATCCCAAGGTGGGTTTCTGCTCTGCGTTTTCAATCCCTGTTATAAAACCAGTTCTCAGTGATTCACGGTATTGCAGCACCCCGCTTCTGCGGTACCACCTGAGGCTAACTCCTGACTGAAAAGAAACCTTGGGCCGAGAGATTGGATGCAAATACTCTTGTGCAGCAATGCAACGTTATTAAGCTAGGCCCAGAAGAAATTGTGCAACCTTGCAGCAGGGGGACAAGCCATCTCAGCAGGATAAATCAGCCCGTACACAGCTTTGCGCTGCCACGGCAGTGTTGTTTCTGGCAACCCAGCCAGCTGACTTCAAGCTGCAGTCAGGCACGCAGACGTGCGTAGATGTTCACGATAGCAACAAGAAAAGTGCCAATGGACTTTTTATTTGCTTTGTCAAGAGTAAGTTGCAAGTTGGAGATGAGATCGTAAGCAGGATAAGCCAAACTCTTGAAAGTATTTCGTAAAAGTCTTGCGTGTTTCAGTGTCATGCTGATTGCCCAGTCTGCGAGTATGAACAAAATTCAGTCAAGCCCAATTAGCCACAAACTTCCCTGAGCATATCCCCTCCCATGACCTACTGTCACTGCAGCAATCTTGGAATTGGTGGTGTCCGAGTTTTTCCAATTCTTGGCCTGTGAATCACATCTGATTTTTTTAGCAGCTAAAGAAGTATTTGTATTAACTCGAGGAGCTAAGGGTTTTGTGTGAAAATGGTTGCAGAGAAATTTTAGGAAGCCTGCTAGCCTTAATTTCTTTGGAACCAAACATAAATAAGTGCCTCCTCCGTGCTTTCTTGAGTCCCTAAGTTACCAATATTCCACAAGGGTTGGTTTCTTCTTCCTATTGAAAATTACTACCTCAGAAATAAAAATGAGACTCTCCTCATTTATGTAGACTGTAAGATTTATCCTCAATACTGAGAAGAATCCTCAGCCATTTTAAATTTGCTCAAGAAATAATGTATTAAGTGTTCTAAGTCTTTTGGTGCTCAGGTCTCCACATTTTTAGGTTATGTTTTGGCTTTAAAATGCTGCCAGCCAGACTACAGTCTTCTCAATGTTGTTTGAGGGATGGGACAGAGATAAAAGAGAGTTGCTGTATTTCTTAATGCCAATTTAAAAAAAAACCCCAAACAAACGTAAACTCCTTTGCTGTCTTGACTTGTGCTTTGAAATACCATGAAAACGCATCAACAGGCTAGAAATGGGTTTTCCTTTTGCTGTTGTTTCACGTAGAAGCTGTAGCAGGCTGACGCATACGCAGACATACAGTAGGCTCTGCTGACAGGCTAGGGAAAGTGCTGTTCCTGAAACGCATTCAAGTACATGCCGTAATTTAAAATTCAAGATATGTAACATTTAGTGTGGATAAAACTGAAACGTTGAGAATTTTAAACAAAAGGCAAGTATTTTCTTGGACCTACTTCTGGAATGAAATTAAAACAGCGCTCTTTAGTTCCCTGAAAAAATTATTTCATTTAGTACATGCTTAGTCACAAAAACATCCAAATAGTTTCTTAGAAGTATTGTTTGTATAATATTTAAACTAAAAATATGCTATGCAAACAATGAGAATTCTATCACGAACACTCTACGAGCAAAATAGATGTTCACTCACTATTTTAATCAGATCCTGAACTCTCTGAAACCTCGAGATTAAAAATGCCCTTAACAGTGTCATGAAGAACTAGCACTTTGAACTAATAAATATTTATCTGATGCAGTGCTCAGTTAGCTGGTTCCAATCGCTAAATTTAGAAAGGCTGTGATCCTTCTTCTGATGCTTCTTTTGAGCTTTACCGGGCAAGTAGAAGGCTTAGGAATGAAATGAGGTCACTCCAGTCCTAAGGGTGCTCTGAACTGTTTCAATGCTATTAAAACTTCCACTGCTCATTTTCTTTTCCTCCTTTAGTACCACTGAAATACTCTTATACCAAGTAGATTTCAGTTCATTAGTAACCAACAGTGCTCTAAAAAAAACGCTATAAGCACGATACTATAAAGCCACAGGAAGGCTGAGGAGGAGCACAGTCCAGTTTTCCTCTAGCCCACCTTGTTTCTGAGCATTAATTTGCTGGACAAATGAAAACAAAGCAAAAAGGAGGATTTGTTAGTTAGCATTAGGTTCACTAAAACTTGCTTCAAGTGCTTACAGGTGAAGGAAATAAAGGATGACAAGCAGCGAATGTTCACATGCACGCATGTGGCTGTTTCTCTGAGTCAGAGCTAAGGTACTGAAGTCTCCCTTCAGCTTTTCCCTAGTGCAATATGATTGAAAATCATGCCAACTCCTTCAGGTTTTGAAAGCTTCAACAGTGGAGTAGAGAGAGCCCAGAGGAACCGGGCCATGAAGCCGTCCTCTGCACGGCAGAGCACTTGGGAAATACTCTTGCCCACTGTGGAACTCGGCATAATGACGACAGCAGATCTCTGGGATACCCCTGGGTAACACCCACAGCTCTGACAAAGCCGTTTTTTGTAGATGTGCTTGGTGAAATGTCCAAACGATTCCCGTTTTGTCAGTAGTGCTCATGGTGTTTGCCCACTGTGAGCTTCAAGGATTTCTGTTACTTAGGACAGATTAGCAGAGGCATGCAGGCATTACATTAGAATCTAGGTATCTCCTAGGATTTTTTGAAAGCACCTAAGCAAGTTTTGTGCCAACACCTATTCCGATTTTGACTTTCTGGAATATGGAGAGAAAAGAAGGTGCTCTTGAACCCAAATGTAGAGACACTTCTTTGGAACAAACAACTCCTATTATCAGATGGCAAAACCTCCTCAGGGATGCAGGGAAGAAGGTCCTGATTTTCCAAGAGCATTTTTGTGGGCTTTTTTTATTTCATGTTTGAGGATGATCTTCATAGCAAGAATTTGTATTATTAAATGTACTTCAAAAGCTACTGAACTACCTAGTAAAATTACCTAATAGCTAGCAACAAGATCCAACGTTAATTGCTAATAATACACTATCATACCCATCACGTGCTGGGAAATGATTCTCAGCTTGTACTGAGCTTTGAAGATTACTGATTCTAACTTGCACCTGAGGAACAGCTGTGTGCCGCAAAGATTATTTTTTAACTGCTTTAGCTTGGCTAATAGAGGATATTACTCTACCCACAAACCTGTCTTACTCCAAATATCTGGCTTCTGGGCAGGAAAAAGAAAACCGATCCTGTCTTTCTGCTAAAAGCTCTCACCAAGCCGTGAACTGAACATACTTTTACCAGACTCACACAATATTATTATTTCATTTTTCTTCTTGTCTTTCTGGAGATGTTTCCACTTTTTTTTCTGAATAGTCTTGCCTGCTGTAAGGCTATACAGCGCTTCAATTAGCACATCAAACTTCAAAAATCTAGTAAGTAATTTTTCAGAAAAGGATTGCAAGCTAGACTGTACCCACATCATCACGCATCTCCTGACAGCGTCAAAAGGATACGACAGCATTCCTGAGCAAGTAGTCACAACCTGAGCAATGAAAAAGGAAAGAATGAATAGAGTTTGCTTTGGATTTGGCAGTAACCCCTGCAAAGTAACAATAAAAAAAAAAAAGCCTGTAAAAATTCTGTAAAATGTATGTCCAATCCAGCAGATATCAAGTATAATTTTGATCATTTCTGTTGTTAATCCTACTGTAAAATGACTCAGTTCTTCAGTAATGTACTCTATTGAGCACAAATAACTGTAAAGACAAAAGCTGTAACTAACACCGTCGTTAGTTCATAAAAAATATTTAAAATATCATGATAAAGATTTAAAACGTGTGCATTTTTGTTTGTAAAAGCTACCTTAACGGTGCCATAACATCCAAAATAGGAGGCTCGGTATATAATGATTCCCTGTACTGGAACACCAAAACCCTGGCAGAGGCCAGGAAGTCCATCTGTCTCTGCAATTTCAATAATACAGTCACCAAGTCCCTGGAACTGTTGCTCAGCAGCACTCAATATAAAAGAAATTTAGGCCCATTGTTATGCTTTACGGAAGCCGTTCTCTTCAGTACAAACTGCTCTACATAACTGAAACATTTAACATCGATATGATATGAAAAACATAGTAGATTATTGTTCCCTCCACTTATGAACAAAGCATAAAGAAGAAATCAAGACACGTGGATGGATAGACAGATAGTGCTATCCAATTCTTCAAACACTTTCAGGTCGAATAACTACCATTCCAATTTTATCCTCATTCAGCAGTATGCTTATGTCTGAATTCTCTTGCCCCCTCTCTGAAAAGAATATTTTCTACGAAATACCATGTTTTCGCTTCCTCCCCACGCATTCATACTCAAATTTATTAGAAGTGTTACTCATTCCAGCTTTTCCCTGTAGTGGAACACTAGCCACGAGCTGTGACAAAGCTAAAAAATCCACTTTTTATATCTGTAGCTTCTTCATCTGTTTCCACATTCCACAGGTAACTACACCCAGGCTCTTCAGATTCTCTGCAGGTGAAAATGCAGCAAGCAATAAACAGATCTTTGAAGGAGGAACTTCAAGCTGTACACCTTCTTATACTGAAGGTATCATGAAAATACTAATTTGGCCCAAGTACAGGGCACAGAAAGCCACAGATGGGGTCAAGGAGCCAATTCCTGGGACAGCCCTGCACAGCACGGACAGTAACTAGGGTTAACTTGTCCCGCTGCAGGCAGATCAGGAAAGCCAGGAAAGCCAACAACAACACAGAAAGCAGAGATTTTTTTCTCTCTGCTGCAAAGCCTTCCAGACACTGTTTTTGGGAAATTAATTTTATCTGTTTGAATGAATGAAACATATATCTAGAGACATACACTACCCAAAATCTTTGCTGAAAATCTTCAGTTGATATTCTTGATATAGAGCAAGGATGGTCGTTAGCTCTTTAACCATAGGTTAGCAAAAATTAAACTCCTCTAGTATCCGGTTTCCCAAGTTGGCAAATTCCTTAACTTTTCCATATGGAATCTAAAAATAACAGAAAACTTTGAGAGCTATGCTATAGCACTATTTCCAAAGAATCCTCTTTCACTCGCCCTCATCCTCTTCTTTTCAAGGAAGTATTTCTTAATACTTTTAAGTTTGTAATTGTGCAATGGTAAATCTTTAAGTAATAGAATTCGAATACTGTTGAATATTGGTCTGCCTCTAAAATGAAGTAAATATGAACAACCTGAGGCACATCAGATGAAACCGGAACTGCCTTTTGAGAGATTTCACTACCTTTCCCAGTATCAGCAGCTAAATGAGCTCGTGCGAAGCCTACGGGTACGCTACACAGATGGATGGTGCTCCTGCTGCTCCGCCAGAAGCTGGGTTTGCCAAAAACCATTTCCAGTACTGAAACACAAAAATTGCTGTATGCAATTACAAGAATACAGCATCACAATACTATAATACTGACCTTTGTTGTTGTTACTTAATGAAGAGTAAGACATATCTGAAACATTGTATTATTTACAAAATAATACACAAACATGGCAGTCTCAGAGTAAGACCTATCCTGGGGTATTTAAAAATTTCCACTTGCAAAGATTCCCTGGCTCTTCTTCCATTTATTAAAAAATATTTATAAGCTATTTTTCTTTTTCAGCTTCTGAATTGCATGGTGCTTTTGTGACCCAGATAACATCTTTCTCATCTGTAATCATCCAGTCCTCCATAATGATCAGCCTGTAGAGCTCCCTCATACAACAATTGTGCATCAACCCTCCACGGTGGGGGAACAGGGAAACATAAAAATCAGTGTACTTACTTCCACCGCGGCCCATAGCATTTACCAAATAAGAAAAAGCCAATCACACTCTAAGAAACATCTTGCATAATGTTTTTAAGTGGCCATACCTGACATAGCCCTGTTGACTTAAACGGCATCACGGGTACAGCTTGTGTAGGGCATGCAGACCATGTAGATGTATCTCAAATCACTTCTTACTTGCTAGTTCAGTAACAGCAACACTGTAGCTGTAGTAGTATGGAGCTCAGCTTAACTGCACTAATAACTTAACTGCCCTAATATTTTATTAGCTGTACAGAAGGCTTTGCAACCTGCCCTAGCTCATGTCGCTGCATAAATGGTTTGAAGCTGCACCAGGGCAGGGTTAGGTTAGATATTAGGAAAAACTTCTTCACTGAAAGGGTTGTCAGGCTCTGGAACGGGCTGCCCAGGGAGGTGGTAGAGTCCCCATCCTTGGAGGTATTTAAAAGAAGGATAGATGAGGTGCTTAGGGACATGGTTTAGTGGTGGGATGGCAGGGTTAGGTTAAAGGTTGGACTTGATGATCTTAAAGGTCTTTTCCAACCAAAGCGATTCTATGATTCCATGATTTTATGATTCTATAAACTGTTGCTAGGCGCAGCAGCGAGCAGGAGAGGGGGCAGCTGCAATCTGAGGGCGCTCGACTGTGCCAGTACTTTCTTCAACACCAAGCGTCTGGCACGTAGATAGAGCCTGTCGTCTTTAACAAAGTTCCTTTGCGCTTTGAGCCTAAAGGTTGTAGTAATTTTTTTTTTTTTTTAAAGATAATCCATCTAAGCACAAACTAACGCATATTGTCTTTCCCCTTTCCTATCCTGCACAAAACAAGCATCCAAGGACCCTGAGCTTCAACAACGGATATGCTACTTTGCTAAATACTACACTTCTAAAGGAATTAATCTTGAGTGCTATTCATGGAATGTTTCTAAAATTTGAGTCAGAAGCTCATACACACGTAAGCCATCTGGAAATGCTTCTAGGAGACGGCAAGGAGATTTGAAGAACTATAAACACTGTGTTATTTACATCATGCATGTTTTACTTTTTCCACTGTAAGGATGGAAATGGCAACCTTAAACTCTTTACATACAAAAGGACTGTAATTGAAAAAGGACTGCTTGAGAATTTGCATGCAATACAAGGAGATTAATCATACTTTAATGACTGACAGCATTCTTCCTGGCCAGCACCACCAGAAAAGCCCGTGGCAAGAAAAGTTTCTGGCACTGCAGTAAAAAACTGTCAACAAGAGAAAGCACAGAACATTGGATTTTTGTTTAGATTATCAAAACCTAACCAAAGAAATCCTAAAACAGATAACCTAAGACAGACACAAATAAACCAGATTTTCCCAGCTATTTTCACATGAAACAAATTAGATGCAAAGAACTTATTTCCTGTTCTGCTGATATGAGTGAATTTTACGTAATTTGTCAAATGCCAATATCAACATTTCATATTCCAAGACCAAGATTTCATGTAATTAATTGCATGGGTGTAGACCTGTCTGTCTTTCAGGAATCCATCCAGGTGAAGGGACTTTTCCCAAGTAGACAGAATTGCACAGTAAGGCAGCATAGCCCAAAAGTTTAATTGTTTTTTTGAGCTATAACCTAAACCTGCTCCTTTTCTGGTGCATTGTACAAAACTAGTTCTTAAAATGCTTTAACTATTGATAAGTACGTTTCTAGCTTTACATGTAGCAAGAAATCAATTTTCAAGTGTGGAGCCTTACTTATCTACAGCAGTAATATGCACTTTAATATCTATAGATTTTTTTCTGATGCTTACATACCAGTGATTAGCAAGAAAATAATGGGAAAAAAAAATCAAAGTGAGAGACTCCTGCTTGAGGGACACAACTCCAGAACTTCACACATTAGAATAAAAGCAGCTGTAATTTCACGAGTGAAATTACAAACATAAAGGTTTTTGAGACTACAGCACGTTAATGCAATCTTAATTGTGAGAAGGTAATTGGGGTTTTTGACAAAGCCCAGAAACATAGGTGTCTGAGTCCAAGATTTTTTAATATCCATCTTAATATTTGCATCAGTTCACTCCAAAATAATTACATATCCTGAACAAAACCTTGAAAATTCTGACTGCAGTTATAAGCAGTCATTTACACGCACCTCAACGTCATTAATCATTACAGATCAAACCCCAGATTTCATTACCTTCAACAATAAGCTACACAGTAAGCCATGCTTGTGCTTCCTCTGGTTATAAAATAAGCTCATTACAAAATTTTATTGATACACCACCACTCGTTACCAACCATGCCGAGAGAAAGAACTGCGGAGCTCTTGACCAGGTTTAGTTAGTTTGTTTATTAAACAGAACAAATATGCAAGAGATTATTTACCTGTTTTTCTTTATCCACTTTGGACATGAAAATATTTATATTTGTCCTTAAAAGCAAAGTTTAGAGCCCGTGTTAGGAAATACTGTATAGTATTTGCCAAATTGCCACACCAAAAACTGAAAAATGCCATGGAAAAAGAAATGGATCTTTAAAATAACATTTCCAATGTTTATACTACACCAAGGATATTATACAATATTCCTTCTATTGTTTTTACTTTGGCATGAGCTTTAAAAAAGGCCAAAAATGGTCATTTACAGGTCCTTTATTTTTCACGCATTTGGTATTGGAAACCTGGATTAATTCTGACGCTTACCAACAGATGTATGCATTCAGATTAACACAAGAAAATCTAAAACTGCAACTGAAACATCAATAGTTCTGAGAAATAGGCAACATTTTCAACTTCCTTACTTCATACATTTCTAAGACTAGGGATACCTACGGAAACTGCGGTCCAGAAACTGCAGAATAGAAGAATATTTCACAGAACTGCATAGAAATTGTTTTCCTGAAGTAGCCTGCCTATGCATTTTCGCTTCCATAGGGGGTGCTCACACTCCATGTTAAAGCAATGATGAATGGTTTATACAGGTACCAGAAACATGGTAGTGCTTTTGTAATTATGATGTTCTTCTAAATTAAAGAAAGGATCCCTTTGGACACTAAGGTAAGTGCATAAGAAGCTAAATGGAGCTGAGGAATTAGTGCAGGAGCAAATCTTACATGGATTATAAGGGAAAAAAATGTTATGTGGGGATGTTCACAGACATTGGACTGGCTGGCCACGTTAGACTTTGCTAAGCAGTGACAGCAAAGTGATCTCTAGGTAAAGCATAGCCATGCTCTTCATTCAGACTTCCTAATTTTCTTGTGTTACTGCGGATGAAGGCAAAGACTCCTTAAAGACAAAAAGAACTCAAAACTGGGTTTTCATTTCTTATTTTGATCATGCTTTCCTATACATTAACATGAGGATGCAAAGTAAATGCTGCTTTTGTAAAACTGTCACAAGGAAAACGTTAAGGGTATTTTATGCTGTCTACAAATACTAACAAGCATGACTTTGCTGCTACCAAATGAAGTAAAAAAAATCCTGTGGGGATGTACACAGCAGCAGCCCCCTCACCACCTCCTCCGCCAGTATCCGTACCCCAACATGACTTTGCTGCTACCAAATAAAGTAAAAAAAATCCTGTGGGGACGTACACAGCAGTAACCCCCTCCTCACCACCTCCTCCGCCAGTATCCGTACCCCTTTGAATGCCCTGGCCCATGATGGATGCTCCATCACCATCGCTCCAAAGAAGTTTCTAAAAGCTTTTGTTTTAACAGGGTTTGGGAGAGGGCTTGGCACAGGGAGGGGGGCGCAGCCCAGGGCCCCCAACTTGTCCCCTGGGGATGCAGCACTAAAGCAGTTCACCGTGCCCTGGTAGCAAGGGTCCGCCCGGCTCTGCTCAGACCAGGCCTGTACCTGCAGCAACAGGTTCACCCGCTCGAGGGGCGACGCCGCCATCTTGGAGATGGCAGCCACCACACCAGCAGGCCCTTCCCCAAGGGGACGGGGTCTGAGAGGCCCTCATCACGCTGTGGGGCCGCTGTGGCGCAGGGGCCCGCCCTGGCCGCCCCCCTGCTGTTTCCTCCTCTTCCCAGAGCCGGCGGGCACTAAACTGGCTTCTTTTCCCTCAAAAGTTAAAACTTGATGGCCTTGGGGTACCCAGGAGCTGAGCTGCCTCTTGTGGCCGGGCCCAGAAACTGCGCCATTTGCTTCTAAGCCACTGGTCCCTCCCCCGGCCACAGGCAGCAAGCTTTCCAGGGAGCTCTGGAACTCTCCAGAAGCTTCCGTCAGCTGTGGGAACAGGGCCCTCTCCCCTGACCAGGAGCTAGAGAATAAAAAAAACCCAACCAACCAGGTAACCAAGGGTAGTCGTTGATCATACTGAATTATGAGTTAAAAAACATTATATATGACAATTAGATGTATTTCATTCATGTGATTTATACCCATTCCACTGCAGGTCAGAAGTACTAATTCCTTCTAGGTTGCTGATAGCGTATTCTTTTAAAATTGCTTTACCTGCCCTACATCTCCTGACTTAGTAACTAATGAAGGCATGAAACACGTTTCTTCAGTCAAAATGTTTTAATTGTTGGTTTTAAATGCTAACTTTTGTTTCTTGCATTCCCTTGAAATTAGTAATTTTAACCCTAGGTGCTCCATGAATTTGTTGTACACTACACTGCTTTACTAATAATTTTTATAAGTAACAAGTTAAAGGTAAAAGAAATTAATTTCTTTTGAGCCGTAATACTACCATTTTAACTCCTTTAGAAGCTTCTCCTTATCTATTCCCTTTAACATTAATTCTATAGACTAATTCACAGCTATAACCATCCTGAAAGTTACAAATCTACAATCAAAGATAGCCGATAAAAATCTGTGTTCTGTAGGAAATGAAATCCTACCATCCTTTGGGGCTCTGTTTAAACATACTCTTAAAAATCTGCAAAATACAGTCTCTGCTTCGTTGACTAACAAAGTAACCATTAAAAATCTCCTTAAGCTTAGTAGCAACATGGTTAATGCAAATTTTGCAGCATCTGGTTGCTGAACTATGCTGCTTTGAGTCTAAAAGGTGTAGCCGGATGCCCTTAGTTCTGTTTAAGGTGCAGTTTCTGGTGAAGGAGCAAGCCAATCTAAATAGCTGGCTGGTACTGAAGGAGTCCCACCTTCCTTCAGTTGTTCTTTTCTCCACGCACATCTACGTATTCACTCTGTTTCTTCTGCACTCAGTTGTGTGCTTGGCCCAGATGAGTCAACAGTTTAACCCACTACACTGGCAGCAGAGTAACCTAGGTCTGACTAAACACAAGGATCTAAAGTTAGCTGTCCTCTTTTTAAAGCATTCAAGTATCTTCTTTTCTACTATTCAATCCGTATAGCCCAGCCTTTAAAAGATTGAAACAAGAGACAAACATCAGCAAAATTATCCTTTTCCATACTGGTACACACTTACGTGTGCACACAAACATACAGGTTCTGTAAAAGCTGTTAAAGTGCCACAAGGACTGCTTGCTTTACTATGTTCCTTCTTCCATTGCAACGAAAGCTAATATTCAAACCCCACAATTTTAGACTTTTAAAAGGTGCTGTTCAGATGTCATCTGTACTATTAAATATTTTTATTTTTCAAACAGTAAATCTCGCATCACTTGATTTACAGACGGGGAACAAATCTAAGTGCTATTGATGTAACTCAGTTTTGTGTGTCTCAAACTGAAATACTGTCTCTCATCTTCTAGGAGCCATAAATTCTAGAAACAGCTGATTAACAAAACCTGCAATCATACGTTTAAACTTCAGGCCTAAGACTTCTACTGCTTGGAATAAAAGCAACTGTTGAGTGGTTCAAGACAAGCTGTGGATCACACTGTCAGAGTGGGCAGTCACAAGCATTTGACTGACTATTTTAGAACTGCTCTAAACAGTGTAATTTACTAGTGAAAACAAGATCTAAAGCTTTGATCGTGAGAGCCTATGGAACTGAATTTACTTTCCTGAATACTTAAACTTTTTGATCTCATTGTTTAAAATGCAACTTTAGTCATGCATTTTATGAAAAGCACTCATGAAAAGCAAGTAGAAACAGCAGAAAGAAAAAAAAAATGCACTGTTGACATGGAACATGATGAAATGTTATGCAGATGACCAGATCTAAACATGCTGGATGTTGGTAAAATTAGACCCCCAAAAATCTTACATTTTAAACTACACTTTAGTAAAAAAAAGCTTTAGGAGCAGCAGGTCCGTCCATTACAAACACTTCTACAATTTGTAGGAAAGCTGAATTTTGTAGAAGAATTCTGATTTCGCAAACATCTTGCCTTCTCTTGCCTTACACAGATGTAACCTAACATTTTTTGTAATATCCAGCTGTAAATTGTAGCAGACATAGCTAAACAAGTAGTTAAGTAAAAAAAATAGAATAACACTTTGCCAAATATACATTTTTTATTATGAAATTATGAATGTAATAGAAAACTAGCCGAGTCCATGCATAGGTCTAAAAAACCGTCACCCTCCTGCTCCCCATTTTCTTTTGAGCCTTCAAAATCGTGTTTTAAAAAACACAAGTATTATTTATAGTGAAAACCCATGAAGTCAAGTAAAACATCAACCACACTACAGTGCTTGAGTGTGCAGGAGGCCATACTGGCAAAAATGATAAGCCGTTAGTTTTGAGTGGCTGTCACAAATTGGCTAAAAGATTTCCTTCTGTTTTGATTAATGCAATGTTACTGAAAACATTCAGTATTTTCCATGCCCTTAGAGGCGCAAAATTTTCATCAACCGGAAAACTTTTTTCCCCTCCATCACCAATTGCCAGACATTCAGAGAATACTTGGAGAGTATCAGCTTATTTTACATTGCATATTATACACTGAACAGCAGGGAATGTACAAATTATGTGATGTTTTCATATAAAGAAGTTATGCTCAGGATAAATAATTTGACAGTATATGATGGTAAGAACTTTGGTTCTCTGAAATATTTTTAAGTATTCAATTAATGAGATTATTAGAAGCATCACTGAAGTTTTAACTGTGTCATTACCACAAGGCAGATTTATTTTTTTTTTTTTTAAAAGCATTTCAAAAGATATTCAAAGATACACCATGGGTGGGCACCACAACTGAGTTAATTTCTTTTTGTATCGAAGTACTTTGAAGAGATGACAACACCCTGCAGGATGGCTGAATGTTCAGGAAACTCATCTACGTAGCTAAGCCGAAGGACAGTTTAAAGGCCAGTTCAACAGCAGCTTCTGTGACTGAGTCATGAAAACAGACATAACACTCCTGAGGTTTTGGATGTAGAATGAGTCTCCTGGAAAAAAAAAAGAAAGGGAAAAAAAGAGTGATCACAAGCATTAGCCTTTTCTCCTCAGGTGTTTGATATATTCTGGTCATACTTTGAGGTTTCAGCAAGTTGTTAAAAACAACTGCTGTGTAGGACAGCTAGCAAATTTCTGTGGCTCTCCTGCATTATCTTACTTCTTTCAATACATTAGATTTTTAAAGCAAGTTATTCTCTCTCAGTTTTCTCAAGACTGTATGGAAAAAAATTCTTCAGGTTTTCAGGATCTATTTGTATGGTACTGGTGTGTTTGCAGTAATGCAAGTTTCCAGGCTAAAAGCTGCAATCAAGGTACTTGAGAGCAAGCCCCACTATTCACATATTTACTATTTTTTAAACTTAATACATCTGGGTAGGTACACTGCCACACGCCAGTCTAATAAACTCTAAAAAAAAAAGCTAACATAGGTTAAAGAGCTAAAATAGCTGTTAATACCTGTGCATAACTGTGTAGCATTATAGCATATAGCACTGCAAATACTAATGGACTGCCGCTGATTTAACACGTGGTTTGATAATGCAGAGACTGAAAAAATATTTTTTAAAGATAGCAACAGCAGTGTAAACATTTAAAAATGTTTAAAGATTTTATTTTTTCCCACCCCAAGGATAGCACACAAACTGCATGTACATCCATGGTGGGAAACGACTGTTTTTCTTTTTTCCCTTTAAACACCTGACTTAAAGGCAAACAGGTTGAACAAAAGCTCTGTTAGAGAATTTCTGCATTACTATTACTGGCCAATATAATTACCTGTGGATGAAGTTTCCTCTCACTGTATCAGAAAAAAAGTTCTTGCGCCATTCTCGGCAATGTATTTTGCTGTTTTAAGATTTTCCTATTTGCGCAGCAGTTGAACTAGTGGATAATTACAGCTTAATGAATTCATCAAGCATAATCAGTTATCTTCCTTTCACACCCTGCCTATACTGAATTTATTTTTCATATGGTGAAAGCATAGCTTCCATTTAACTGGGCATTTGCATCTTTCTTCCCATTTATCTAGCAGAAATACCAAATACAGAAGATGAATGTAGAAAAGAAGGAAGCATCTTGTTGACCGACTGCTCCTAATATGAGACTCTGCTTACTGCAGCTAAACCATAGACAGCACAAAATAGAGTAGGTGGGGGAAAGAATAACTCAGGAGAGGTAGCGGCTACAGAATAGGGCTTCCTGGCCTGGACTTAAACAATTACAAGGTCTGATGCATGATCTAATTGTGAAGAAATTATAAATACTACTTTCTCATTACTCCTAACTTTTAATTACTTGAAAAAAACATTATTCTTAATATTTAATGCCTAGGGCAGTATGCTGTTCTGTCATGCAAATAAAGCCTAGCTATATATCAATAACTATATGCATCATTAAGAAAATCACTTAAAATTAAGTTTAAATAACAACACCAATCACAATCCATTTACACTGATAATGGCAGAGCTCTGAAAGCAAACTGAGGAAAGAAATCTCCCTTTCCAAAATACATTAAACAGACTGGTAGGTTGATTTGATTATCCCAATTAAAAAAAAAAAAAAAAAAAAAAAAAACAAACCACACCAAAACAAAACCCCCAAACCCAACCAACAGCTACAATATTTCACCTTACTTCTCTGTATCGCTGAATCAGCATGGTGCATGGAAGCAAGACAGGTTGGATTTACAAAGCAGGGAGCAGAGAAGTTGGAAGGAGTGTGAGGAGGACAAAGAAAGCGCGGGGTTATTAGGAGTACGGTTACAGAGCGTTACCACGTCTGCACAGCACAGTGCTGCACCGCAAAGGCTGCCAGCTCTGCGGTGTTAACGTGCTGGCACGGTGCTCACCTGAATTAACGCACCTACGTTTTACAGCAGGTGGACATCACACCAATGCAACCTCTCAGATCCCAACTCAGAGCTACCTCAGTCGGCCAGCTCAAACTATTCTGTGATGTGCTGCAGTTAAATTCATTCTTAAAGAATACAGTGGCATATTCAAAATGGAAAACTTTGGGACAAATACATTAATTTGTCTTTAAACTCACCCCACAACCCAGTAATTCATTGTTGGTGGTGGCTTCTTCTGATCAGTCCAGTTATCAGGAGAGCACTCAAACAAAACTCCATGTTCTCTCACCAGATCTAGGTCTTCATCTGCCGTACTAAATTCTGAAATCCCACTGCCTGCTTTTTTCTTTTTCTGTGAAACAATTGGTGAAATGTTAGTATAGAATGAAATATTCTTACAAAAACACTAGCAAATATAACTATGCGATTCCTTCAGGAATCTCTGATTAATGGTATTGCTGTCAAAAAGCCAGACTTAGAAGATACAACTAACTTGCTTACATGATTCTTTTCTCCATGGTTTTGTTACTTTGGCATCAGCAGGCTTTTTCCATTGTTACACAACTTGGAGGTAGACACATGCTCCCTTTTCTCATTCTTTTTTTTCCTTCTAGGCAAACGCTATCTTTCTACTAAGACATCTGAGATAATACAGCTTCTTTTAAAAAGCGTGTTACAACAGCTAAAGCTCTCATCTTTCTTTCTCTGGATGCCTCCCTAATTAAGAACTGCGATAGTAAAAGTCTATTTGAATAAACTTGGCCAGGCAGGAATTTCTTTTTGTAAATAAACAGTTGAAGCACTTTGCTCAGCGCGTTTTCTTGCTCTTACTCAGTATTGAGTGCATAAAATGTATAGAAAATAAAGACATTTTTGTGTTTCATGGAGTTTTTAGGGCTATGCTTTGTACAGAGCTTTTGAGTAAGCTTTGCAGAAGTTCCAACTGTTTCTAACTCAATCTGCTGGTGAGGATCAAACTGTATGCACAACGCCTACTTTACTCTCTTTGCTCTGTCTTGGTGCTCAACAGTCCCGAGAGTCCAATAAAACCACGGTATCTTTCACCAGAAATGCGAGGGGAATGGACATGGAGATAAACACAGGAGGAATTTTGAAAGGGTTTGTCACTAGTTTAATTCTTTTCCCACTGAAGTCAAAGGAGGTTTATTGCTCTTTTGTATATGTCTACATAATAATGAAAAAACAAGCTTTAATTTTTTTCTTTTTGAAGCATGAGAAGTGAGATGAGATTATGGAAACAGGAGGGGAAAACAAATCTGTCTTAAGAGAGTTGCTAAGCCAGGGCTTCTCTGAATCTGACGATGAAAACTTCTGCTCCCATCAGTTCCTTCAAATGTGAAAGAAAAGATTTTCTTGGAAAAAAAAAATAAAAAAAAATCAAGGAACTTCTGTCTGCCATATGCAGAAGCAGAAACCACATGTTTCAATCTGCCCACAATATTGAAGATGTGGGAGCTGAAGATCTAGATGAGAAAAGATGGTCAAAACATTATAACTATCTTAATTTCTGAAAAAAAGGTGGAAGTAGTAGTGAAATGCTCCTTAGAGTTTGGAAACAAAATGGCTAATATTTGCCTGAGAAAATGTCTTTTAAATTTCCCTAAACATGCTTTTGATTAAATTCATAAAGCATATTCTAAATTATTATGAGTTCACAGAGTGAAAGAAATGTCACTGTAGACTATTTAACCTTTCCTGTATCTTCCCTCAGTATGTAAAACTGTTTCAAACCCTGTTCTTGCTAATACTGCTACTGAAAAAGACTTAAGGTATATGTTAGTGCTTAGTCTGATCATCTTCCCCACCAAAAAAATGAGGTCAATATCATGCAGTTTCCAAGCTGAGATTTGTTTATATTTTAGTACATCTTATACTGTGCTATTCATTCTGAAAACACTCATGAAAAATTATATATTAAGAGGGGATATTTGATAGAACTATGAGGGTTTGTGGTTTCATATGCACAAAAACTTCTTTCCTTCTGATTTTATTTAAGAGTAAAAAAAATACTAAGATGCTTATGAAGAAAATGAGGCCAGGGTCACTTATCATATACAGTGACATATATATTAGAATCATAGAATCATAGAATGTTTTGGGTTGGAAGGGACCCCTAGAGGCCATCTAGTCCAACCCCCCTGCAGGAGCAACACGGCTAACCAGATCAGGTTCCTCAGAGCCCCGTCCAACCTGGTCTTGAATGTTTCCAGGGATGGGGCCTCCACTACCTCTCTGGGCAACCTGTTCCAGTGTTTCACCACCCTCATTGTAAAGAATTTCTCCCTTATATCTAGTCTAAACCTACCCTGGTTTAGTTTAAAACCATTACCCCTTGTCCTGTCACAGCTGGCTTAAGGGTTTAAGACTACAGAGCTTATTTTTGCTCAATTTAGAATGTATTCAAAATTTCTGTACATATTCAGAAGTTAAATTGTGAATTTTCAGTTCCCAAAAAGTGAGGCAAAATTAATTACTGATCAGTTTACGGTAATTTTGCATTATTGGTGGAATTCTCTGAATCCTAAACTAAACAATATTTAGCTGATGTCAAAGAACAAGCAGTATAAAAGTATATTTCTATGTTTGACTTTTTTTGTTGCGCGCTATGAACAAGGAAAACTTCTACTCACTCTTACGTTTTCCCCATGCCACAATGCAACCTGCCAATTTCAGCATTAATTGTTGCAGCAAACGTGCAAAAACTACCCCAAATTTTCTAAAAGAGAAACTTCATTCTACAGCACATGTTCATCAATTATTTCTGATTTTCAGAGCAGAATGGTCCCAGCTGCCACCTACTGTACCACGTCTGAAGAAGCCAGAAAAGCACGTGCTGAGGTAGCTGTGGCCAAAACAGAAGTTTTGACTTTCAAGCGTGAGTTTTTTCACTTTTTATGAGCTACACCTAATGGTTGAATGGTTTCTTTATTCAGTTTTTTTTAGTTTGAACTATAAACTGTCTATTTAACAGTTGTAACCAAAGGCAATGATGATAGGAAATATTTGCGTATTCTCCCTGCTTGCTTTTGGGTTTCCACGTCTCTCAACAGAAGAGCCCAAAATACGTGACTCATTGTCAAGGCCCTACTCAGCCAAACCCTAGTGTCATATGAAGTTGACAGAACAATCCACCAAATTAACCTATTTTTCTAACAGTTAAAAATTCCTAGAAGATTTATAAGGCACATCGGTCTAACCAGAAGTGACTTGTTTGGTAACGTTTGGTAACTTCAAGGAAAAGTTATACTGCTGTTTGCAAACTGCATTAAATTTGTACTGTTATTTCCCATTTCTCATTTAATTCACTTAGATTGTCACTTTAGGATCTAAAAAAATGCAGCTGATAGACAGTATTTCACTTAAATTTACAGATAATTATTTTTCTTTTCCAAAAGGACTGAACAGGTCACAAAACTAGCAGAGCTGAAATGTTATCCTAATTTAGTTCACGTCAATAAAAAAAAAAATCAGCTGTGCAATTAACAAACCAGACTTTTAGCAAACTAAAGCGTACATTGAACACAAAATGTCTGATCTGAATGGAGTATCTCATAAATTGATCCTTACAGTTATTATTTAGACTTCTGCATTATTACTGCCATCTTACTCCAGGTGGATCATTTGGTGTAAACAGAAAATTTGAACCAAACACAGGGCAGTACAGCTGCTGACATCCAATCTGTCCATTTTTAAGTCTAATCTAAACACCAAGCACACACGTAAAGCTCTGGCAGCTGGAATCAGGCTTCAGCCCAAGTCTAGAGCTAGGCTTGAATTGGTATCTTTGTAAAGGGAAAAAGCCTCACCTATCCTGTCATCCCACCTAATCTAAAATCCAAGAGAGCTGGCAGCATAATTGAAAGGAATCTATCATTATAGCCAGTCTTCTTTTAGACTGATAGCCCTGTGACCGAGCGATTACAGACGTTAGTGGATGGCAAACGCGTAAGCCTTGTTGGGCAGCACAGAGACCAAAGACTCTAAGAACGAACGACCTTCTCACTGTCAGAGCCCCTCTTCAGGTCACTGCTCAGACAGCACAGTGAGGGGAAACCGCACTGTTGCTGCTCATATGAAACGTTTTCTGTGAAAAAAGAGGGCCTAAAGTTCCTTTTTCTGTCAATCTGAAATCCCCTCCCAGCATTAAAATGGCTAAAACACCCCTCTTTTGCTACTTACAGTTCTTGAACCCAGCACGTGAAACTTTTTGCTAAGTTACAAACAAGAGTCCTAACATGAAACAGAATAAGAAGATACTATACTGGAGACATGGAGTATTTATTTTGAGGGCATTTTTGGTGGAAGAGTGAGCCATAACTGCATGCATACTTGGTTGGATGGTCAGAGAAAGAACCCACTCATAGCAGTAAAAATATTGGGAGCTTTAAAAACAGCCACGTGCAAATTCCCCTGCTAGTGAACTATTTAAATAATGAAGTGAAAACAATCTTGAAATGCTGAGTTGAGAATGTAAATAGAAAAAACAGAAAGCAAAGCTTCCATACTTCTTTCCTCATGGACTCCTGGAAAATGGAACGAATTGAAAGACAGCAACGATAGAAATTCTCAATTAACTGAGGGTGGATGGAGCCACCGAGCCGTGCTACTTCTTTGTGAGTTGGAGTGATAAAGATTCCTTGCATCGTTTCCAAAGATAGATAGTGGAAGAGGGTATTCTCAGGACCAGATGTCAACCTTAAAAAAATTGGAGAATTCATTTGATATTAAAATAATTTTGAAAGGAATTTCAGTTAAACAACATATACTTTTGTTTCTTAAGACACAATTGTTCTCTGGTAACTACAATAGAGTACAAAAATGGATACAGACATTCAAAAGGTGCCTATTTCTAAACCAAGGAAATCCTGCTAATTTGGACTCATAATTTAAGAAAAAACCCCACAAACCAAAATACTATGGTACTAGTTCGGTATTGCACTTGTGTTCTCAAAAATTCTCATCAAAAAAAAGAAAAAGGAAAGGAGAAATAAAGCAAGGGGGGAGGGGGGGGCAGGAAGGAAAGCTTTCTTTAGAGCTCATAGAGAACACCAGAGCAGACTGTGCTGTCACAAGCAACAAGTGGCAACTGGGAAGGCTTCCTTGTCCTTTGTACACCTGCCTAGAGATACCAGGGAGGCACAAGGTTATGTGTGTTCCAAAAACTATTGGAACTTCCAAGTTCACCTATATGTGGGACATGCGTATACATTTTCTTGAGATATTCTTGAGAAAGTCATCTTTTCTAATTAAGCTTTCCATTTAAGAGCTTTACTTCTGAGAAGCCTTGCATAGCAAAGTTTTTGCTAGAATAAAATTATGCAGGAACTTCTGTGATCTGTGCATATTCAAAAAACAATCCAAGTATGGCCTTAAAAATGAAGTACTTCATAAAAAATAATTTCTTACTTGATAGCATTAAGAAGTTCTGTATCTTTCTCTGACAGGTTCTTTTTGAGGTTTCCTAAGTGAAATGGATTTGGTAGGGTATGTTTTTTTCTAGTGGCCTGAAAACAAGCAGAGAGATGAATGAACAGAGAAAACACAGCTAACGAAAGAAGAGAAGAAACCAACAAGTCACCTACTTAGAAGAAAATAATGTAGCACTTTTTTAAAGGGCCCAAACAGTTGCATCAACTTATATAGGTGTATTTTATAGCCTATTTCAGACTAAAATGGGTTAGAAGCAGTTGTACAACTGCACAGCAATTTGTTCTGATAACATATGTTTACACCATTATTATTTTGGGGATACTCTCCAATTATTTCTGCTGATTCCAATGCAGCTGTGCCCACTTCAGTCGTGAAAAACCCAAATATTTACAAGCAATGATAAAATAAAATCTGATGGCTCTGAGGCTGACCCAAAGCTTCCCAAGGCAACAGAAATATTTTCTACTGAATTCAGGGGCTCTTAAGATTTATTCTTTTACAGTATATTTTCTTAAAAAAAAATTACTTGAGTGAGTTTTTAAAAGAATTGCCACCTCCCCCCAAGCCCGCCAGAACCTTATGAATTCTCTTTGTCTTTGTTCTCACACCTGATCCACTACAGACTGTGGATTACTGCTTTCATCTTCCGCAGGACCTTCATTACTGTGGTCAGGCCCTCCATTGCTTCTCGTAGGGCTCGGCTTACGTGTCACTAAGGAAGAGTCACCAAACAGGGTCCTTTTGCTTGCTGGAGTGATTACTGATTTGGAAGTATTCTGTAGCTTGCTTAGGATGGGTGAGGTGGTCAAGCTCTCCAGTTTGTCACGTGTTGCAGGAAGGAACCAGTCAGCACAAGATAAAGGTGGAATGGAAGGAGAATCTAGCCTTTCCTCTATGCCGGCATCTATTCCTTCCAGTTGAAGTATAGTGGCTTTGACCTGATCTACATAGATACAGTCTGGTCCTGGATTCCCAATAGCTTTTGATGCACAGCCTCCTGCCTCTAGCAGGACACACAGCATAAAGTGTCTCTGTAAACACGGAGGTAGCAACATTAGCCTTTGGTTCAATATACAGTATGTGCTGTATTATATTTATAGCTCATCTGATACTTGGGCAAATGCAGCACTACATTCAAAACTCCTTCCTCATCTCCAGGAGGTTTGTTTTTGTTTTTGTTTTTTTTCTGTAATCAAATCATGTCCAAGGAGATCTGTTACCATGTTATTTAAGTCAATCAAGCTATCATTTACATACTTATTAGTTGTTTGCTTTAAAAAACTCCACATTTAAAAATAAAAATACACATTTCTGTAAGGAGTTGTCTGAAAATACAAAATCATGAAAGTAAAAACATCTTCATCCAAAGTGAAAAGGCATAAAAATAATGAGAACTTATACTTAAACTTGCAAGCTTTACGAATGTATAAATAATGCTACTCTCTGAGAAATTCTATTCCATGAAGCAGCTGTAACATGAACATTCTGTAAAATTACTAATAAAATGCAAGGGAAGTTTTGATCTTAACAGTAGACAACACACAACAGTAAAGCAGAGCATTAGAGAAAGGGCATACTGGAAAAGTTAACTTACCAAGCCAACTATCAGTAAAAAGTGTCTTGCTTCAGGTTCCCTGTATCCTGTAAAACTTGAAACGTCACGTGGCTCGATATGATGATGTGGAAATACTTCCCGCCATATCACTAACTGACCAATCTTCTGCTCTGCTGCCAAGGGTAACAGACAATAGTGCCGACAATATAAACCTATATCAATAAGATCTTCTTTTGGCAAGTGATTACCAATCAAGTAACCCTTAATTAAACACAGAAAAGGAAGTGTATTCAGTAAGAAATACAACACCGCCACTTATCACTTCAGAGTACTTTTCACATAGAGATAACCACACTCTACATGCATTGAGATTGTAAACTTCCCGGCCATCTTTTTGGTACATAGTTGTACAATAGGTAACAGCGCTTTTGCACCACATCTGAAGAATCAAAACATGGAAACATAAACAAATAAAACATCAGCATATATACAAATTATCGGAGGCGAGATGGGAAATGCATGGCTTTAACAGCTTGCAAAACAGCTACAGAGTTAAGGTGCTTTAACTTTCATTTCCTGCCTACCAAAAATACTGCGTTTTCACTGGAATTAATAAAGTTTCCAAGGATACATAGTACACAACAGTATTTCGAGCACTAAGGGCGCTACAGTTAAAGCACTGTCACAGTAGATACTTCTTAGTTCCATGTGTGCTAACAGTTTAGTCACGTAACACTACCAGCATAATGGAACAATTGTATGAAAAAATCCCTAAAATGTAAGTTTCCCTAACAGCCTTTGCTTTATCTTCCTCTTTCTTTACACTGTTGAATACACTGTCTACATTTAATAAAGATACATAAATTTACAAATGAGGCCAAAGTGAAAAAGCTGTCAACCCAATTTCTCAAGCCTTTGATTTAAAGACAGATTAAAGATAGATCACCTGGTCTCTTTATTGAAAAATGGTAATGAACAAAAAAATTCCTATTAGAATATCATATAGTCTCATTACCTTCTCTCTTCAATCCTTGGATCATATGCAGCAAAATTCCCATAAGACTGTTTCAAATGAGTATTTTGTTCTTACTGATCATATCACTTCCTGACATCAATTTTTTCGGCTATGGTATTTGAGTTTTAGGCCTGTTACTACAAATACACCTTCAAAACAATCACACATTTTTCTCATATTTGTGAGGTTCAGAAAGAGTTACTCCACGACTGGGTTAGATTTCCAGATGCATTTTCCTAATCTTTAGATCTTAATCACTAATACTACCTTGTAGAAGAGACAAGAGCCCATTATCATATATAATCTTCTCATGTCGTAATAATCTTCGGACTGTGGGGAAAAAAAGCATGGTATATTTTTTTAATTAAGAATTTTTAGTTTACTGACCAAATGCAAGTAAACTAGTTCCAGTTAACTATAATCAATATTTTATTGGATACTTTCATTTTTGACTATTCCTTATTATCAGTATGGCAGTTAAGTGAAATACCAAGTTTTAGCCTTTGTTATCGATTTTCACATCACTACGATTTTCTTTAATAATGTTAATCTCAAAATAACAGATTTCCTATTTAGTTGTTATCTGTCCATAAACTATTTTTGTTAGAGGATACACTAATTCTCAGAGTTCTTAAGAGCAAAGTAGCTGAAGCATAAGTACTGACACCAGAGGCCCCCCTAGAGTAAAACTTCCAAGTCAAAGCATTTTTTCCAGTATTTGACATTTTACCAAAAATCTACCCCTTCATTGATCTTTTAATTTAGATGCCCAGTGCTCTCAGATTAGTAACACCATCTCTAGTCAGATACAGTGTATTTTAAATGAAGTGGGCGCAACCAATTTCTGTGCAATAAATACACAACTTATAAACATTGCTTTCTGTAAATAATCATCCAGGTTGTCTCATACAGTAATTCCTTTTTTTATTCATTCACAAGATGGACTATATGTCTGTCTACCTCATATTTTAGGTTTTAAGAACCATTAAGTATATTTTGTAATTGAGAATAGGTATGTCCCAAATAGTTATGGTAAATATGGGATCAAACAAGTTATCTTTATGCTCAATTGTAATACACCTACAAAGAAAATAATTCTAAAATAATTGTTCTGGAACATGAGTTTAAAAAAAGCTCTGTCATTAGAAAGTAAAACTGAAATTTCAATATGTTTACACCTCACTCTCCTATATGGCACAGTAAAGAGCATGCACAGCAAGCGATACTAAAGTAAATGACTATCTTCTCCCTTAACAGTATTAAAAATAGCATAACTTGTAACTGCCTTCTGTACACTGGAATATTAAGTTCTCAGTGCTCCACAGAGTTTTCAGGTTTATTCACAATTTCTTGGGAAGGAGACAGTTATCTATACAAAAAAAAGAAACGTAACAACAATCAGCTATGTTGAAATTAGAGTGTCCTTGTAGACATCCTATGGACTTAAATTATAGTAAACCATGGGTTTTCAGTGACTAATCCTGTAAGGTAATATGGTTATAATGTTAACCATGGAGACAAATTCAGGATAAATAGGATGGGTAAAACTGAGCTATCTTAAAACAAGAATATTACAGTATAACTTTGCTTTGACTCCCACTTGATTAAAAAAAAAGTGGATGAGTTTGGAAATAGTGCTTTTTTCAACTACTGAATATGACACCAAGACAAAGAGATACCATGCAATGCAAACAACAAAAATAAAATGTTTACCAGCTCTGCAAAGTCAGCTGCTTCCAGATCACTCAGTGCTGTGTCGATTTCCATCTGCAATATTCAAACAGTGCATTTTAATAGACATTTCCAACACATTAACTTACAATAATAGCATAGCTCGCTCTATCTTGCTAATCTCAGAAGATTAGGATTCACAAGTACAAAGTGAATAGACAAAAATTTGCATGTACTTTTCAGTAGTAATATCAAATATCAAGAACACCTCAATTCATCAGATTAAAAAAAAAATCCTTTTTAATCACTGTGTCGTTCCCTCTTCTTTGAAACTGTA